AAATTGGTCTGCCTAATTGTTTTTATTTTTAGTCCTTTATCTATAAATACACATTGTTTTTATGCCCTGATGAGTTGCATATTGAATTCATTATATTATATTTATATACAATATTATATATTTAGCCCTTAAGTATATAGTTTCTAAAATTATATAATATCCTATTTGTATAATTGTTCACAAATTTGGTTGCATTTTATAAAACTCTAGTATCCTTATTCTTGATCTTGTGTCAGTATTGTCAATGGACATAGATATGGACATGAACATGTACTATCCATAGACAGTCCATGTTCATAAACAGCAAATATTGTGTTCAATAAAAATAACTATGTCCAAACAATATATAATAAAATTCTGTAAATTATAATAGGTTATTTGATATAGGCTTTACAATCATAGTTAAAAAAATTCTGATCTTATCAGTAAGTGGATTGGCTAAATAAAAGAAAAAACATAGATTACAAATTCACACCTTTTGTCTATAAATTATTTTAGCAATACATACATGCCTAATTCAAAAAAAGAATTTATACATACATGATAACTCAATAAATCTTTGTTAATAAATAAGATAAAAAAAAATCAGAATTATCAATACATATCTAGTTCATTTTAATTTAGTATAAAAAAATGCTTGTATTAAATGTATGTATTTGATTATATCATTTATGTATATATTCAAGTGTTCCAGCTTTTATAGCTAATAAAAAAGTGTAAGAGTAAAATCTTTAACTAATTATAGTAAATCATTATATATAAGTTGCAAGTTTTTACTCTCATACTTAAAAGTTTAAACCTTAATAAGTTTATTGACACATAAGGTGAAGTAGGGTATTCTGACATGGGAGGTAATGTGGCATACTGGAGTTTTTTTAAAATATTTTGAGATACATTGAACAAAATCAAAAAATTTCAAATAATATAAATTTTTTTTAGATTTTAATTACTAAAACACAAAATATAATTAAAAGTCGATATTTCTTATAATAGTATTAAGTTTCTTTTAATTTTTTCTCATTTGGGTAATGTCTAGAAGAATGATGCAGTAATACAATACAAAACATATAGCGATACATAGTGCACCATAATACCCCAAATGCAAAAAACTTAGCATTTTTTGAGTAGATTTTGAAAGCTTATATTTCAACCTTTTTTTTTAAAAGTCGATTTTTTTTTTATAATTAGTTAGTAAATCGATAGTTATTTTATTTCGCTAAATTTTAAAAATAAATATTAATTTATAACAATTTAATTGGCAATGCAGCTTAGGTGCATTAGAATACCCGACTCTACCTTATATTATATGTATGTGTTGCTCCTGTATTCTCTATAAATAATGATATCGTCTAGAGATGCTGTTATGAATAGTATTATTAGTAATTCTATATACAATAACATTTTTTTTTATTTATTTCTAAATATGTATAAGATTTTAGTACAATTCTATTTTTATACGTAGCAGTAATAACCAATATATTTCTTTGTAAATATTTAATGTTAATCATTTGTTCTATTATAGAAATTGAAGATGGCTTAATGGCTTAAATGCATGAAAATTAGATAAACTACGTAAATCTCGAAAAATCTGTGTATACATAGTTACACTAAACTTGTGCCTTGAGATCTTTCAGTATACCTTCAATTTTCACGTAAACTTTGAAATTTGAGTATAAATCTTGAAATTTTGGTGTCTACATGGTGGAAAGATAAAATGTATTTAAAGACCATGAATTCAATAAACGAAGGGATAGTTTCTTGTCCAGTTTTAATTATATTAAATAATAAAGTATATACTTATCTGAATTTTCTCTTGAGACTTTGTCTTTGAATTCAACTTGTAACCTTAATAAACTCTTTTGAGACTCAATTCGACAGACTGAATTGACTTGTAACTTCGATTTAGTTTATTAAGACTCAGATTCTAGAACATCTCTGACAGTTATAAACAATTCTCTTCGTTTCTCCAAGTTTATCATTATCTCCTCGTACACCGTTAGAGTTAAATTGGCCTTCTCTTCATATTATTTCATAAGCTCTCCCATCAACGGTTACAATGCGATCTAGATATTTACCAGTTTTACTATTTCTAATTTTATATATAAATAAAATGGGGCGATAGATTGCATCTCAATATGGTAAAATCATATAAAACTTCAATGTCAATTTTAAGACAAAAGTAAATTTAATTTCAACAATTAAAATTTTTTCTGATTATCTAATGATGTGTTTGAACATATGTTTATGGACATATATGTCCATAGACAATAATTTGGATGAACATTTGTCCATGTACATTCTTGCCTGCTAACAATAATATGGACATGGACATTGGACATTGTCCAGAATTGTCCATGTCCACCGATTTTTTCATGGACATTGTCCATGTACATTACTGTCTTGTGTATCTCGCATGTTGTATCGTGCTGTGTTAGAGTTTTTTCTTAAGAAATGGAGCACATGGCATTCCACTTACTAGAGGCCTGCTTTCTTGATCTAGATTAGCTGCTTCATTTCTCTCTAAACGGATGCCTTATATAAAAACCAAAAAGAGAAAATTTTTACTCATATAAAATGGAATAATGAGTATTTGGTTTGTGTTAGATATTTGTTATTCCAAATAAAACTCATGCCGCATTACTGTACATTGCTGTGCATTTCGATTTTTAGAAAACGATGTATCGATGTCATGACTAAAGTTGGGAACTGATTAAAGTTGGAACTTCAGTTGACTGAAGTTGCACCTGACTGAAATTATCCCCTAAAATTAGATCAACTTCAATCACGACACTGTGACCAGCAAATTCCACGTATTACACCAGAAATCGGAATCTAGAAAAAAAAATTTGCTATGATAGTCTAAAAATTAATAATTTTTTGAAATAATCTAGTTGTCGCCAGCGGTGACAGTTACTGGATTGCAATTGACCAACCAGATCATGTTATAGAATCAAAACAATCGCTAAAGTTAATTGTCGTTAGGGTCAGGGTGAGAGTTGAATTAAGGTTGGGAGTAGAATAGATGTTATAGTAAAATTTTGCAAGGAATTTTTTTTATTAAAACATAAAACATGGTTTCATAGGTAAAATTTTGAGCTATAGCGAATTTTTGAAAAATTTCAATGTTTTCTTCATTTTCAGATTACACAAACATTACACCTGATCCTGTGATGTGATTGGCCAATTGCAACCTAGTACTGTCACTGCCAGCGACAAATAGATTCGCCCTAATTTTTTTAACCAATCATAGATTGACATTTTTTCTAGACTCCTGATTTCTGGTGTGATATGTGGAATTTGCTGGTCACAGTAATTTGAAAAACACTGTAATTTACGGAACGCGCGAGTATTCAAACCCATAAAAAGGAAATGGCCAATCAGAGTGCATAAAATTTGACTGTTCCGGATCAGCCCGACATGAATTCCGAACACGTGCGAAATATGAAAAAATCGAAAATACTCAAAAACTAGTATTTAAATCGACCTTGGTGCACTAATTAAAAATGTCGAGACTGAAATTTTACATATAAAAACAACAATCTATTGTTATAGCCGCTAATGTTAACGACCTAACCCTAAACTTCTATCTTTACGCACTTAGTTTATTTACAAAATTCGATTGCCTTTTTTGGTTTGTGTTACTTGTGCAAATAAGTAAACTCGTATATAGTTTTAAGATCAGTTAACTAATATAAATATTATCGTTATACCGATATGAATATCTCAGGTCAAATGTAGAAACATGAGCTTTCAAATCATCTTCGCTGGCGAATAATTGAAAAAGATTTAGAAAGCTTATCATTTCGGAAATTGCAAAAGATTTAGATGCTAGCATGTCTTTTATAAGTCGAATTCTCAAGCATTTTCGAAGATATGAATATATTGAAAACTTCTGCAATACAATTTGTTAAATATTAATAAAATCACAATGGAATCTTGAGTCACCAGTTGACAAATCTTGACAATATCCAACTTTTTTAATATTGGCATCTACTCGTGTAATATGTTTACTGTAAAAGTCTGTTTTATATCTGAAGCCTTTTTATATTTCTTGTCAATATTTAACCTTTTCATAAGTTTTCGCACAAACTAAACACCCAACCGAAAATTTAAAAACATTGAACCTACCGACATTTATAATGAAAAATTATTTGTAGAACAAGTATTATATGTCACATATGTCTTTCATATTGTAACAAATTTAATTTTATAATCTTACCCTTTTTGGTGTAATTGATTATTGATTATTTAACTAAATTAGTATCGTGATTGTTAAAGCCCTCGAAGGAGGCAGTATGCATATTGACATGAGGCTAACACGATAGCGTGTGCCTCTGATGTCATAAAGTAGATTCCAGAATATGTTCTCCTTCATATTAATCAAAATGTATAAAAGTGAAGCATTAATTCTAATAAACGGAAGAACCTCATTATCATAATAAAGTAACATAGACTAATGATATTCTCTCCTTAAGTACAACATCAGGGCGGTTCTATTTAATATTTTTTAATTATAAAAAAAATCAAAATCATCCTCAAAATGTTGCCAAAATATTACATATTTTAATTTTTATTATCACTTTGGCTCTTATCACTTTGGCTCTTATTGCTACTATTACGTATAAACCCTGCATTTAACATTCCCGCAAACTATCTGAATAAACGCTAAACTAATTGTACACGTAAGTTCTAGGTACTTTTTTTGTTAACAGCATCAGGGTATATAAAGTAAAAGTAATGAATACATATGATGGGCAATCATAAAATTAGTATTCTTGGAGGATTAATTATTATGTTATTAGTTCTGAACGAATTTTACCAAGAAAATAGCATTTAAAAAAATAGGTTATGAATTTGAATTTATTTAAATGTTATCAGTTACATAATATCAAAGATTCGCTAAATAATAATTTAGAAAAGTATAGATATGAAAGTATAAAATACGATATAAAATTCAAAAAAAAAAGTATAGAACTGAAAGTATATAATATGATATAAATTTAGTCTATTATCATTAAATTATTTTCTGTAAAAAAGTCGTAAACCTGTTTCCTTAAATATTGTTCACAAGCTCTGGTTATGCTTTTCGCTAATTCAGTATTTTGCACCTTATCATGAATTCGATTCCTTGCTGATTCCCGTTTAGATTTAGATATATTATCATCTTTTAAAAAAGTATTCAAAAATGTAATAGCAAAAAAAGAGACTAACACCTCTTTATCAAAACACCTTGCGCCCCAAGCATCAATATAATACTTAAGAGTTTCAATGGTTTTATCATCAAATGTAATTTTAAATTTTCCAGAATTGACACTAACAATACTATCATTTTCCAATATAGATTTGAGTAAGCAATTAATATCATTTTGAACTTTAAGAGTTCTATAAACGGGTTCCATTTTATCATCATCTATTTCAAACGTGTGAATGATCATTGGTTTATTATAAAATTTCATACAAAGTTCAATCAAGTGATTCATACAAGTGCCTTTTAATTGTTCAAATGTGATTTTGAAAAGATCGAGTTTATCATCAATCCACTCTTTTGCTTTTTCATAAACGTGTTTCCATTTATTATAGTAATCACTAAAAACAGTTTCCAAGTAAACCATACCAAATGCGGTCTCCCAAATTGACAAATCTAATCCGATTTTTTTTCCAGTAAAACTTTCAATAGATTCTTTGAATGTTTTGCCTAGTTCATTTTTTTTAAGTTGAAGTTGATCATTAATGATTATATTATATAAGGGTAATGAACCATCGATCTTTTGAGAATGTTCAATCTTGTAAATATCGTCAATAATCGCATTCATTTGAAGCTTTTTAAGAACCAACTCTTTATAATATTCAGTAATTTCAATTTTAGTGAAAGTTATTTGTTTGAATTCAAAGTCAAGTTCCTCCTCAGGCTTTCTTTTTTTGATCCACCTTCCTTCTAATTTTATTAGTTCTTTATAACCTGAGCTATCATCAGAAACAGCTGGTAAGGAGAATGGTTTGTCAGAAACAGTTTTAATAAGTTCTATAACTTCTTTTAAACTT